ACCCATTTCTGCTGGTAAAATAAGTCACAGTTTTATTTTTAACACAGAATATATGTAGACTCAAGAGAATCAAGAGAAAAGTATGTGAGGAAAATGAGAAATTCAATAAAAAAAAACAGAAATCTTGAAAAGACCCAAACAAATATTGAAGAAAACAATGAAGGAAAATTTTTAAAAATACAGTAGTCAGCATGAAGAACAGACTTGATCAAGCAGAAGAAAGAATTTGTGAACATTAAGACAGGTCATTTGAAATTACATTATCAGAAGAGAAAAAGAATGAAAAAAAATATGAAGAAAGCCTATGTGATTTATGGAGCACCATCAAGCAATGAATATTTGCATTGTGGGAGTCCCAGAAGAGGAAAGAAAGAAAGGGCAGAAAGCTTATTTTAAAAATTCTCAAATCTAGGAAGAACTATGTACATCTAGCACATGAATCTCACAGGACCCCAAACAGATTCATCCCAAAGAAAACTTCATTAAGACACATCAAACTATCAAAACTCAAGACAGATAATTTTGAAAGCAAGAAGGCATAGAGAAACCCCCACTTCATTTCAAACAAGTGACTATGTACAAACTTGGAGCAGATTTCTCAGCAGAAACCTTGCAGGTCAGGAGAGAATGGAATGATATATTTGAAGTGCTGAAAGTAAAAAACTGACAACTAAGAATACTGGCAAAACTCATTCAGAAATGAAGGAGAAAGAAACTTTCTCAGATAAAAGCTGAGGGAGTTCAGCACCACTATATCTTAAAGAAATGCTAAAGAGAGTTCTTTAAGCTGAAGTGAAAGGATACTAATTAGTAATATGAAAATATAAAACTCACTGAGGAAAGTACAGTCATTCAGAATATGATGGTTGTGTGTGTGATTCACTTAAATCTAGTATAGATGTTAAAAGACAAAAGTATTAAAAATAACTAAGTTATAATTTTTAGTAGATGTAAAATATTAAAAAGATATACATTGTGTTATCAAAACAAAATGTGCGTGGGAGTATAAGTATAGAGTTTCAATATATAATTGAAGTTATCAGCTTAAGAAATAACTACATTTTTATTTTTTATTTTTTTTGAAATAACTACATTTTTAATGTAAGCTTCATAGGTATAGCTCTAATAAAATAAGGGAAACAAAGCATGCCACTACAAGAAATCATCAAATCACAAAGGAAGATAGCAAGAGAGGAAGAAAGTCATAAAAGAACTATAACACAGCCAGATAACAATAAGATGGCAATAGTGAGTCCTTAAAGTAATTCTTTTTTTTTTTTTAAAGATTTTTTATTCATGAGAGACACACACACAGAGAGAGAGAGGCAGAGACACAGGCAGAGGGAGAAGCAGGCTCCATGCAGGGAGCCTGACGTGGGACTCGATCCCGGGACTCCAGGATCATGCCCTGGGCTGAAGGCAGGCGCTCAACCACTGAGCCACCCAGGGATTCCCAATGTGAGTCCTTACTTATCAATAATTACTTTATATGTAAGTTATTAAGTTATCCAATCAAAAGACATAGACTGGGTGTTATTCTGTATGTTGGTAAATTGAACACCAATAAAAATTAATTTATAAAAAAAAAAAAAAACAAAAAACAAAAGACATAGACAGTGTAGACTTAAACACCTCACTTCCAACAACGGAAAGATCAGATAGAAAGTCAATAAGGAAATACTGACTGGAATGACACAAATTTAGAACAAATTAGAACAAATGGACTTAACAGGAACGTACAGAATACCTCCTTCCCCCTCAAACGATAGCAGAATACACATTCTTCTCGACGCACATGGAAAGTTCTCCAGGATAGACCATTTTGTTAGATCATGAAACCAGTCTTAACAAATTTAACCAGTGGGTCAAAGAAGAAATCAAAAGAGAAATAATAAAGTACCTTGAGACAAATGTAAATACCAAGAGTTTTGAGATGTGGCAAAAGCAGTTTTAAGAGAAAAGTTTGTAGTGATAAAAGTCTACATTAAGAGACGAGAAACAACCCCACTTCACACCTCCAAGAACTAGAAAAAGGAAAACAAAGTAAGCCCCCCCCCAAAAAAACAAAGTAAGCCCCAAAGTTTGCAGAAGGAAAAAAACAACAAAGATAAATGCAGAAATAAATGGGCCAGAAAAACAATACAAAATATAAATGAAGAACAACCTTTTTTGAAAAGGTAAAAACTGACACACGTTTAGCTAAACTAAGAAGAAAAAGTCAAAATCAGAACCAAAAGAGATGTCACAACTAATTCCATAGTAATACAAAGAATCAAGAGAAACTACCATGAACAGTTATATGTCAACATATTGGATAATCTAGAAAAAATAAATTTCTAGACTCACACAACCTACAAAGATTAAATCATGAAAAATAGAAAATCTAAAGGATCTATAACTGTGAGGAGATTAAATCAATAATCAAAACTCTCCCAACAAAGAAAAGTCCAGACCACTGGTGAATTTCACAAAACAAATATTTATTTTTTAAGATTTTGTTTATTTCAAGCGAAGAGAGAGTGCAAGTTGGGGGGAGGGGGGAGCAAGAAAGAGAATCTGAAGCAGCAGAATCTGCATTGAGCACAGAGCCTGACATGTGGCTCAATTCCACGTCCCTGAGATCACAACCTGGGCTGAAATCAAGAGTCAGACACCCATCTGACCAATTCTGCCAAACATTTAAAGAATTAATACTAATCCTTTTCAAACTCTCCCAAAAATATTGAAGAAGGAACCTTCCAAACTCATTTTATCAAGCCAGCATTACCCTGATACCAAAGCCAGAGAACACTACAAGAAAAGAAAATTTTAGGCCAGTATCCTTGATGAATATTATAGATGCAAAAAAATTCAGCCAAATACTGGCAAATTGAATTCAACAGCACATTAAACGAATCATAACCACAATCATGTGGGACTTACTCCTGAGATGCAGGAATGGTTCAATATATGGGCAAATCAATAAATGATACACCACATCAACAGAATGAAGGATAAAATCATATGATTATCTTGGATGCAGAAAAAAAGCATTTGACAAAATTCAACATCGTTTCATGGTAAAGCTTTCGATAAATACAATATTAAAAGAATGTATTTCTATATAATAAAGGTCTTATATGACAAAGCGACGGCTAACATCATATTCAGTGGTGAGGAGCCAAAGGCTTTCCTTTTGGATTAGGAACAACGCAAGGATGCCCACTCACCACTTCTGTTCAACATTATCCTGGAAGTTCTAACCAGAATAATTAGACAAGAAAAAGTAATAAATGACATCTAAATCAGAAAGGAGGAAGAAAAATTGCCTCTGTAGATGACAATCTTACATCTAAAGTCCTTAAAGACTCCATCAAAACCTGTTGGAATAAATGAATTCAGTGAAGTGGGAGGATACAAAATCAACATGTGAAAATCAGTTGCACTTCTATACACTAATAGCAAACTATCTGAAAAAATTATATAAGAAAGCAATTCCATTCACAATAACATCAAAAAGAATAGCATACTTAGGAATGAATTTCACCAGGGAGGTGAAAGACCTGAAAATGATGAAAGAGGTTGAAATAAATGGAAAGGCATCCCATGTTCTTGGATTGGAATAATTAATATTGTTAAATATCTGTACTACCCAAAGCCATCTACAAATTCAGTGCAATACCAATATGAACGGCATTTTCACAGAAATAGAATAAACAATCCTGAAATTTATATGGAGTAACAAAAGGCCCTAAGTAGCCAAAGCAATCTTAAAAATGAACCAAACTGGAGGCATCTCATGTCCTGATTTTGAACTAAATTACAGAGAGCTACAGTAATCAAAACAGTGTGGTATTGACATAAAACCAAAGACATGTAACGGAGAGCCCGGAAATACACCTGTGCTATGCACCCTGAGAGAGTAATCCTGGCTTCTAACCTCATGCTATTAAACTCCTTACAACTGGATTGTGAATCTCAATGTAATCGTGACGTTGGAGAACATCTTCACAAAAAGTGCTAAAGGAAAGACTGGCTAAGAGTTAAATTTGATTACGTTCTATTAGGAAGTATTGTTCCCTGAAAGACCACTAATGGAGCAAATGGGCAACATGCCACGTGAGAGAAGATATCTAGAATACAGGTAGGCAGCAAAATGTACTCATCCCATGCACATAAAGAACTGTCCATCCGAAAATCTCAGCAGAAAAATAGGCAAGGGCCCTGGTAGGTGTGGATGCATGTCCCAGATCCAGTGGTGAGAGAGAAACCCCACAGAGAAGAACCAACGTGAGGTCGCTCATATGGTGTCAGAATTAGGCCAAATGGCCTGTGGCATGACAGCACGTGTTTAGGGGGCGGTGCTGTAGTGACAACCGGGGCAGCATCCACCTGGGGGTGGGGAATCCTGGTGCTCTTGCTCCCCACTGGCTCCTTTGTAAGCTTCTCATTTTGTTTTATGCAGTTTCACATAAAGTAGGCTCCAAAGGACACATCAGTTGTGGACACAGGCCATCCTGCGTCCTCTGAGGCTCCCAGGCTCAGGCGCTGTTCCATCACTAGCTCCTGGTGCCTCCCCAGGACCCCCTCCCAGCCCCTAGAAGGACGCTGGTGTTACCTGCTTCTAACCCTATCAAGCCGGGTGGTGGGAAGTTTCTGCTCACTCTGGGCAGGGCAGGGGTGTGGGGGGCTCCCTACCTGCACACCTTCCCGTGTCTGGGATGCGCCTCCAGCGGCTGTGACCGGAGGTGCGGGCTGTGCCTGATGTCCTAGTGCTACAGGAGGACCTCAGGGAAGGGGGTGGGTGTGCTTGTGCCACCCAGGGGGCACAGCCGGAGTGGGGGGCTGCAGGACTGCGGGAGGTGCCTCAGGCCACCTGTGCGTGAAGTTGGTGCACTGGACACAAGGACAAGAAGACCTGTGCAGGGCCTCAGGTCATAGGAGGCCTCCTGGCCAGAGAAGCACCAGGTACATAGGACTGTAGGAGGCGGGTACAGGCTGGTTTCTCCTGTTTCTTCCAGACACAGCACCCTGTAAAGATCAGCTGCCCTTAAAGGAAAAATCCGGCTTCCCAGCCAGTTCGCAAACTCTGAGCCAAGCAGGCCCCAGGGACACCCCTGGTGGCACATCAGCCCCTTTGATGCCATCTTCCCCTCCTGTGACTGCTCTGCCCCAGGACCCGGCTGCACCAGCTGCCAGCCCCAAGCCAGACCCAGCCATGGGGACTGCTGTGCTGGCAGGGGCCCCAGGGACCTCTCAGGGGATGGCCAGCGAGTGTGACACCCCCCAGCTGCTGGCAGAGACTCAAGACATCCCGCTGGCCGTGCAGCCTCTGGGTGCGGGTGGAGGGCCTTGTGTCCCACCTCTGGAGGCCCCCCATTACCCCACGGGTTTGGGAGAGCCCACCTCAGCCAGGGAGGCCACTGCTCAGGGCACCCCCAGTGGGACCCCTCAGCCCGCCCTGGGCCAGCCCCAACCCCCGCTCCCCTCTGCAGTGGGGGCCATGAGCTTGGCCACCCCCCAGCTCCCCAGCCCCCCACTGGGGCCCACTGGGGCCCCCCAGCCGCCCTCAGCCTTGGAGTCTGATGGAGAGGGGCCACCGCCCAGGGTGGGCTTTGTGGATAGTACCATCAAGAGCCTGGACGAGAAGCTGCGAACTCTGCTCTACCAGGAACATGTGTCCACCTCCTCAGCCTCGGCCGGGACCCCTGTGGAAGTGGGAGATAGAGACTTGACCCTGGAGCCCCAGTCCGTGGTGAGTCCTGGCCCCCCGGGGAGGCAGGCATCCCAGGCACACAGAGCTGCCCCTCTCGGCCCCAGCGATCTAGTTTCAGAGGCCACCCTTGTGTGTGTTGCAAATGTGCCACACTTGGGGAATTGGGACATGTACGTGTGGGGTTGGGACCCGGCCTGGACCGGCTGTGCCAGGGCGGCCTAGCGGGGAGCCCAGCCTCTATACAGGAGACTTGCTGCTTAGCCACAGGGGTCAGTGGCGAGGCTCATGGCCATTTCCATGTCTTCCTCCAGCTGGGAAAGTCAGAAACAGCCCCGGGGCCAGGGGCCGCACTGGAGCAGGCTGGGTCCTTGCCAATGACAGGTAATGAGCCCCAAACCCCCCATCAGATCCCCAGTGCTCGTGGGGTACCACCAGCCTTCCTTGCCCCAGACCATTTTGCCTCTCCATCCTGCATCCCCAGAGCACCTTGGGTGGGACTCAGACCTAGCAGGAGCCCTCACGATGTGTTAGTGAAAACCCATCGTGTTCCCCCAGACCATTACGTACTCAGGCCCTGAGGTGGGAAAGTCCTTCATGGAAATGGGTGAAAGCCTGAATGGCTGGTGTCAGGGTGCGATCAGGGACTGTCCCACTGCCCGGTACTCTCTGAGCGCTCTGGCAGCGGTCCCCAGCCCCACGTTTCTTCAGAAGATTGCAGGGCTGTGGCCATCATATTCCCCAATCCTCCAAGGGTCCCGGGCATTGTGCGTCTCTATGGGCTCTTTCATTACCTGAACACCTCTGTCTCAGCCCAGGGGTGTCAGTCTGACCTTGTAGGGTGTGGGGTTTCTTCTTGGCCTGGCATTCCTTGGGAGATTAGTAAGATACAGATCAACTGGCCTTGTACGAGGACCCTGGGCATGTGTCAGTGGGGTCCCCATCTGCAGAGGGAAGGGACCAGTCTGCTGGGTTTTGGTTGGACCCCTGGATGCTTTGTTCTTGGCGTCACATCATAGAGGGCTGGGGACAGCCAGCACTGGGGTCAGAACCTGCAGTACATGGTGTGCACTCAGGAAAGCAAGGGTCAGGGGGTGAAGTAGGAATGTTCTGGGGAAGGGACGCTCCATCCCCTGACCGCTATGCTTGAGAAGATGTCCACAACAGAGACCTCCAGTGCTGTAGCTGCCCTCACATCCACTCCTCCCAGAGTGCCAGCCTTGGGGGGCAATTCTAAGGAGACACACTGTGGTTTGGAAAAGGTGAACGTTTCTGGAGGTCAGAGCTGTCCAGAAAGAGAGGGAGCATGATCGACAGTAAACCCCCCCCCTCCGGAGCTGTGCAAAGACAGGTTGGGTGGTCCCCACTGCAGGGATGTGAGGAGGGGCATCAGGCATTGCCTGTGGGTTAGGGGTGTGTGACATTTGGGTCTGGGTCTCCCCAAACCTTGCCGGCAGCTGTCACCCCCGCTACAAGCGTGTCATCCTGACCGTGGGCTGACCCACAGTCCCTGTCTGCCCATGGCTCCTGCTGCCCTGTCACTCAGCAGTCCTGGGAAGGGGATCAGGAATGCCAGGCTGCATCCACACTCTATAGATGGGGGGATGGAGACAGCCTCAAATGGCAGGTCCTTCCCAGACAGGAGCATCAGGGTTAGGAACTGGCTCTGTGGATGCAGGACTCACGAGACCCTTTATCTTCAGAGATGTCAGGGAGGCCCTCAGGTGTGGAGATGACAGGTGACACAGATGGACACTGTCAGGTGTTAGCAGTGACAGGTGGGACAGGTGATGGCCATCAGGTGTGTGGAGGGCATGGCTGTCCCGAGGTTCTGGAGCACGTGCCCCTGGGGACCTGAGTGGGGGTAGGCCTAACCGTCCTCCCCTCCCCGTCATTTGGTGTCTCCTGACCCTTAGCTTTCCTAGTTGCTGAGCACACACCCTGCGGGGTCCCCTCCCTGAGGGGTCAGCCTGCCCTCCCACTGATCTGATTCTGCCTGAGGCACCTGCTCCGCCCTCATCCTGCACACCAGCCTGAGTAATGATTTTGATGTTCCTACAGCAGAGTCATCTTTGAGCCAAGTGATGGCGTCTGGCTTGCCCGCAGCGCCAGGTGCCCCCCAGGTAAAGAGGGCTCTCCGGGCACCCAGCAGGTGGCAGGGTTTCCTCTCTGCTGGTGCGCTAACCTTCCCTTTTCATCTCAAGGATGCTGCTGCTTCTGCCTTGCCTGCACATCCAGAGCCTACAGACCGCAGCGGGGGGGCCCCTGGGGAAGCCTCAGCCAAGCTTCTGCAGAGCTGCCTGGGGACAGGGACCAAGGATGGCCAGGCCAGCCACCCCCAGACACGGGGCTCTCTGGCCCCTGAGTCCCCCCAGAAGCACCCAGGACAGCAGGAGGGCAGCTCGCCAGCCAAAACCGTGGGCCGGTTCTCGGTGGTCAGCACGCAGGACGAGTGGACCCTGGGCTCCCCCCACAGCCTGCGTTACTCAGCGCCGCCCGATGTGTATCTGGAGGAGGCCCCCCACAGCCCCGACGTGAAGCTGGCAGTCCGGCGGGCACAGACAGCCTCGTCCATCGAGGTGGGCGTGGGCGAGCCGGTGTCCAGCGACTCTGGGGATGAGTGTCCACGCAGGCGGCCCCCTGCACAGAAGCATGCCTCCCTGCCTGTCAGTGGTGGTGGCGTGGCCAGCGACTTGGTGAAGAGGGCCACCGCCTTCCTGCACAGGCCCTCGCGGGCCGGCTCCCCGGGTCCCGACACACCCAGCAGGACGGCCGTGAAGGTGCCCACCATCAGCGTGACCTCCTTCCATTCCCAGTCATCCTACATCAGCAGTGACAATGACTCAGAGATCGAGGATGCGGACATCAGGAAGGAGCTGCAGAGTCTCCGGGAGAAGTAGGTCCTGAGAAGGGGCCATGGGGCTCAGGGAGATGTCCGCAGCCGGGTCCTGTGCTGGGGGTGGGTCTGCTCCCTGGTCCCCACCTGTCCCTCGTGGGCCCGCGTTCTCCCCCAGCAAGTGTGACCTGTCCGCTGTGCGGGGACACTACGCCATGCAGACCTCCAGCATCTGGCCTTGTGCATGGGTGTGCACAGTGGGGAGGGGCAGAAGTCACCTTCCTCCCACCTGCCTGCCTGGCCCTGCCCCCCACCCCATGCCCAGCCCCACCCCACTCCAGCCCTACCCTACCCAGTCCTGCCCCACCCCACCCTCCCCGGCCCCACCCTCTGCTACCTACCCAGTCATGCCCCATCCTCCTCCCACCTGCTCCGGCCCAGCTCCACCTCCCTTATCTACCTACCCTCCCCTGCCCCACCTTCCCCTACCCCTACCCAGTCCTGCCCTGCCCTCCTCCCACCTGCTCAGCCCCGCCCCACCCTCCCTGGAACCTGTCCCAGACAGGGTCCCAGGACCCACCCTAAGGCACTTGCCAGGCACTTATAGTCCCTCTTCCTGGTGCCCTGGGCACTGGACTTTGAGACACTCAGGGAGGCGCTTGGTCTTGGGATGGATGTCCTTGTGGAGGAGCAGGGGGTTTGGTCTGTACACTCTCACTCTGGGGGCGGGGGTCACCCTGGGAACCCGCCCGGAGGGGAGGGGGGGTGGCAGAGGTCTAGAGGAAGCTGCCAGGAGAGCTCCGAGGGGGCGGGGCTGGAGGTGGGGGCGGGGCAAGTCCAGAGGTGCCACCTAGGAAGGGTTTGGGGAGTCTGAGGGGAGGAAGTCCAGACTCCTTTTTTTTTTTTTTTAAGATTTTATTTATTTATTTATTTATTCATGAGAGACACAGAAAGAGACATAGGCAGAGGGAGAAGCAGGCTCCTCACAGGGAGCCGGATGTGGGACCCAATCCCAGGACCCTAGGATCATGCCCTGAACCAAAGGCAGATGCTCAAGCACCACCCAGGCGTCCCTAAGTCCAGGCTCTTGCCTGGAGGGGGGCTGTGGATCCTGGTGGGAAGGAGGGACCATGGAGGGGCAGGGGGATTCTGTAACTGAGTTGAAGGAAGCTGATGGCACCTTGTAGAAGGTAGTTTCCTCAGACCCCATGGGTACCCCGGGGCGGGGCACTTGTGGTTCTTAGAGCCCCAGGAGCCCTGGGCTTTGAGACCTCGGAATGGCAGTCTCCTCATGGTCCTTCTGAGGCAGGTGCTCCTTATGGTGGCATCTCTCTCCCCCTCAGCAATTTCACCTAAATATCACCTTGTCAGAAGCTAATCTGACACAGCAGGTAGTTTGCTGTATAGAATCATTTTCCTAAAGTCTGGCAGGCATTGAAGATAAAAGAGATAAAAATCAGAATTTGCTTCCTGTAGTCCAGCCCAGAGAAGCAGCTGCTTCCCAGCCATGCATTGACGAGATGGGCTGGGGTGTGGCTGAGGGGCTGAGCGCCCTGGCCGGGGTAACTGGGGCACCCGGGGCAGCCAAGCACCCAGGCCCAGCAGATACAGCTGAGGGGCTGGCATCAGGCCCCCAGAGTTCTGGCAGGTGAGCAGGCAGGCGAGCACAATGGCAGGGAACTGGTTCAGCAGATCCCCTAGGGAGCCTTCTCTACTTTGTTCTAGAAACTTCCATCATCCTCAGTAATTGCAGCTGGGTCTTCATGGCCGCTTCACACCCGTGTATGCAGGGGGTGCCGCTGCCTATGCTGGGAGCCCCCCTGGTGGTAGCTCCAGGAAGCCCAGGTCCCTGGCTGAGGAGACCCTAACCTGCAGTGCCCCACCTCTGGTTCCCTGGCTCAGAGGAAGTGACATGTGTTCCTGGAAGGGCTGAGGCAGCCGCTCTGTTCTGAGCACTGATTGTTTTTCTGTTCACTTGGATTTATGTGTAGGGTATGTGTTGGGAGCCTAGGTATGCAAACTTATCTGTCCCCCGCTTCCTGGCCACTAAAAGCCGCAGCTTTGTGAGATAGGCCACCCAAAAACTCGAATCTCCTGGGGCTCTTCCTCAGGCCCTTCTGTGTTGGGCGTGTACACGCAGGAGACCCCCAATGGGCCCCTCTAGCTCTCCCGCATGTCCTCTGCCCTGCCGCCCCCGGGGACTCCCCTAACATCCGGTGTTGCAACAACCATGATGCCCACCTGCCCCCCTCCCCTCTTGCAGGCACCTGAAGGAGATCTCGGAGCTGCAGAGCCAGCAGAAGCAAGAGATCGAGGCCCTGTACCGCCGCCTGGGCAAGCCGCTGCCCCCCAACCTAGGCCTGTTCCACACAGCCCCTCCCGCTGGCCGCAGGAGGAAGAGCAAGAGCAAGCTGAAGGCTGGCAAGCTGCTCAACCCGCTTGTGCAGCAGCTCAAGGTTGTGGCTTCCAGCACAGGTCTGTGCCCTCGTGGCTGCAGTGGGGCTGGGGCTGTAGGGAGCTGGGCCAGCAGGCGGGAGGCAGTTGCCCACACCCCAAAGACCTCTTTTTGGGTCTCCTTTCGCTGGAATAGACCCGCCTTTGCAGGTATGAGGGGCCAGGGTCTCTCTCCAGCTTGCTGCCCTCCAGGGTGCTGCCTGGGTCTGGGGCTGCTTCCTGTCACCCGTACAAAGTGGGAATAGAGCAGCTCCTTTTAGGGAGTGGGATAGGGGGTGCCTTCTGGGGCTGGAACCCCCTGGTGTGCCCACCAGGAAGCCAGCTGTGAGCGCAGTGTGTGTCCGGGAACTGTAGGTGACGCAGATGACATGAATGCCAGGATGGTTCCTAATGCTAACTGGAACCCAGTTAGAGTGAGCAGGTGTGCAGGCCTCTGAGCCCAGGTGTGCCCTCCCATGTGCGCCATGGTCCTCACGCTGTGCTGGCACACGGTAGGCCTGCCGCAGCATTGGCGACGGGCAGAGACCAAGGTCATTGTCCCTCACCTTCCTGACCCCTGCGTGTTGGCTGCAGGGACTCCAGTGCCTCCCCAAGGTCACCCAGCAATGAGCAGGGAGGTAGGAGGCACTCCGCGCTGGCTGGTCTGACCTGCAGCGCCTCACTGTGCCTGTCGCCCCTTCTCCCCCTCCCCCAGGTCACTTGTCAGACTGCAGCAGAGCCCCTCCTGCTAAGGACCCTGCCCACGCCGGGGCAGGGCCCGCAGCAGCTTCAGACCCGAGTGGGAAGGCAGTTCAGACTCAGCAGCCTTGCTCCGTGCGGGCCTCCCTGTCTGCAGACATCTGCTCCGGCTTAGCCACTGATGGAGGCGGAGCGCACGGCCCAGGTGATTGCCAGCTTGCCCTCTCTGAGCATGTGCTAGGTGCGCAGGGCCCCGAGGTGTAAGAGGGGCGCCGGCGGCACACAGGCGTCTTGAGGAGAAACCAGTAGCTGTAGCCCTGGAGTGAGGACAGTGGGCGGCCCACCCGGCACCGAGTCTGGTGGTGTGAGGCCCAGAGGGAGGCGTGCTCTGGTCAGACGAGGCGTCGGTCCCTGGGCGCTGGCCCTCCGCCCACCCCCGCCGCCCCGGGGCCTTTGTCAGGAGGGACGGCCAGGGGGGGATGAGGGCGCGGCGCCCCAGCGGGTTTGCCTGGACAAGGAAGTGTCGTCACCTGTGCCGTGGGTGCGGCAGCCGCGCGGGGGGTGCTCTCCCCAGCATCTCTGTCCAGAGACGCCATGGCGACCCCGCCGCCACCTGCCCCACACTCCCGCCCAGGTCGCTGCTCGGGCCGCCACAGGGCCTGCTTTCCATCAGGCAGTCGGTGGCTGCGGGCCTCCGGGCTGGGCTAGGTGGAGCCGTGGCCGCTAAGAAACGAGGCTCCCGTGGCTGGTGGTGTGTAGCAGGGATCCCAGAGACTGTACTTGATGCCTGTCTCTCTGTTCTCTTCCCTCTATATTCATTTGCAGGCTGGACGGTTTACCACCCAACGTCTGAGAGACTGACCTATAAGTCTAGTAGCAAACCTCGCGCTCGATTCCTCACTGGACCCGTGTCTGTGTCCATCTGTCTGTATTTGTTCTTTGTATTTTACCACCTCCTGGCCCTTGGTTTCTCCCCGCCCGTCCCCCCCCGCCCCCCCGCCAGTCTTCATCACCTTCCATACGTTCCGTAGGACGCTCCCCTCCCACTGCAGCCACCCGTCCCTGCCCCGCGCAGAGCCCTGGATCGCGCCCGCGCATGCCCGCGGCTCACGCCCGGCCCCGCAAGCATGTGCAGCGGCGCACCCGCCCCCAGCCTCAGGCACCCCGCCCCAAGCCCCCACAGCGCTCTGCGTTTTTCTCCTCCTCACCCGTTTGTTTGATTTCGTATTTTTTACGTTGGACGTAGTTTGATTTGTGTTGCAATCGTGGCGCATATACACGTCCGCTGTCCCCAGCTCCAGCGACAACAAAAAGCCAGCCCCGGCCTTCTTTAGACGCATGGTGTGTCTCACACGTGTCTGGATTCTGAAGACATGCATGTAGCGAGCTGAGACAGTTCTAGAAGGTCCCTGGAGGGCGTGACTTCTGTACAAGGGCCGCAGCACTCCGCAGTGTGACCCCATGCCCGCTCCCTGCATGTGGAAAGGCTGAGAGAAGGTGCTGCAGCTAGGACAGCCCTCCCGCCCCCGCTCCGGTCATCTAGGGAACCTCTCGGTGCCCCAGCAGGTCCCAGCCCCCGCGCTGGCTCTCCCTCTGGCCCCTGCCGCTCTCTGGCTGGAGCGCAGTACTCTGTGTACCCCCTGCCCTCCCAGACCTCAGACATCAAGACAGTCACTCCCCTCCTCCAGCCTTGCCCCACTGGCCCTCGAGTTCCTGGAATGCCCTCCCAGCTGGCACCCGGGACTCATGTCCAGAAAGGGTGCATGGCTCAGGGCCTTACTTACCACATTATTTTATCCCTCAGAACAATTGGAAAATGAATCCAAAGCTGGGGGGAAGGGGGCTTTCAGGTTTTTGATTTTTAAAACAAAAATTAAGCTATCAATTGGGTTCGAAATGCTGGTTTGGGGCACGTGGCTTTTTGCTGGTACAATAAAGATACATTGTATTTGTCAGGACCTGAGGCCACATCCACAGTGGTCATCCATCCCCATCAGGGGGCTGTGTCACCCTCCCCCAGGCAGTACAGGCCACAGACACAGAGCCGCAGGGATTCCCAGTGACCCTCCGGGGTCTCCTAGCCCATGGCCCAGCTAAGCCTCTTAGTTGTGAGTTGAGGAGGGTGGGGGTGGGGACTGAGTGCATCCTGCTCCCCGCTCACTGTGGGTCCCCTTCTGCCCGGGTGTGCGTGGCTGTCCCCTGGGGCCCAGGGAGAGGGCCCCTGGGTCTCCAGGCATCTTGCGATCAGACAGGTGGCTGCGGCGTCGGGTCAGGCACGGGAAGCAGGGTTGGCAGAGCAGGTGTGGGGGGTAAACAGGTGCGAGCGGTCAGGCACCGTGTGCCCCTGTGAGGTCGTCCCCATCCACGTTTGTATCCACGTGGTTCTGCATTCTTGCTTTAGGGTTTTCGTTTGTTTTACTGTGATTATTCTAAGATTTTAGAAAATGGAGGCACAGCAGGGATGTATGATTTAGGTTTTACTTCCATCTGTGGCCGAGAAGAATGTGTAGGGCAGGGCTTGGTGGCAGACGGGATGCCTGGGCCGGTGGGGCTGGTTATAGGTGGTGGTATGTGCAGCCCAGCCGGCCTGGTCTTCGCTGGGGCTATGGGCTCAGTGATGTCATTGTTTTGATGTGGCCCTTTTCTGGCAGGACTCGGCCGGGCCCTTGCTGGTCTTGGCCACGGCATGGCACCTGCATGCTCTGGGTTTGCTGGTCAGGAGCATGTGGGACAATGGTGGCCCTGGCTCACCTGCAGACGCGTGGCCTGTGGGTGTGCAAAGACGTGCCATGTGCCCCGGTGTCTGCCCAGACTGCCAGGCTCCTCCGGGGACCAGCACCAACTGGCTCCCTGGTGACTGGGGTGCTTGGAGGCCTGAGGACACTGTGTGGGTGTCTGGTAAAGCCTGGGCACCACCCCAAGGGCTGAGAGAAGAGCATTCAGGGCAGGGCTGCAGGAAGACCCCAAGGGTGTATGCCTGGGGCCCAGGTCCCTGGGATCTAGGCCAGCCGAGAGGGGACGGCGCAGCTACAGGCTGTGGGTGCAGCTAGACACGAAGCCCAAAAGTTTTCTGTTGGCAGAACAGGTGACAAGACTCTGGAAAAACAGTCCTGGGTTAAGTTACAAAGTAGAGAAAACAGTCCCCAGTTCTTTGGTGCTCAGAGATGGTGAGAGCGCGCAGACCAGGTCAGAGACAAGCTGGGAAGGGGCCCAGATGACCTGGAGGGGACCCCAGGTCGCGGAGGAAGTATGCAGAGGGCAAGGCATGGGTGCCCCCGTTGGGGTGGGCACCCGGACAGGCCTGCTGTTGCGAGGGAAGGACAGGACCCCACAAAGCACAGACCCTTCCTTGTGGCCGATGGGGGCCTGGGGGACTCAGTGACTATGGTTCAGGGTTCAGGGGGGACAGGCAGGTTGAGAGGCATCTGTGTGGGAGCTGCTGCCAGACCTGCCAGGCCTGCCTGCCTCTGGCTGCAGCTCACCCAATTGGCGCAGAAGCCAGCACCTCAGGGCGTCTGCATGCAGAGCATCGGGCCCACTCTGTTCCTCTCATGGGCCCATCTGCTGCCCATCCATGCTGTAGCAGGTCTGTCCCTACGACTCCCCAGGAGGCTCCCACTCTGCGTGGCCCAGGCCCAGCCCTGCCCCTGTGCTGTCCTGCACCCTCCCTGCAGGGACCTGTGGCAGTGGGGGTGGAGAGGGGCTTCGGGCGGCTACTCCCACGAAGGCCTGCCCAAGCTGGACATCCTTGGGGCTGTCCCTGCAGGGCGGAGCAGGGACGATCCCATTTCATGCTTCAGGTTGCTCAGCCGTGTGAGGACTTGATGGCTTGTTGCAGAGAAGCCCCGAGTGGCATCTAGTGCTGGAAGCTTATCTGTCTCCAGGCCCGGAACCAGGTGGCCAATGCTGCGGTCCAGGGTGAGGCCGAGGCTTGGAGACGTGCCTCTCGTCCCGGGGCAGGGAGCTCCCCGTGAGCCTCGTCAGTGTTTGGAGGCTGTGGAGCAGCCCTGGACCCGGCCACTGTGTACCCCGCCCACAGCAAAGAACCTGGGCTTTACCTGAGGCATCCTCCTGGCAGCCAAGCCAGGGTCTGGATGGCAGGGGTGCCTGGCTGGGCAGGCCATCCACACCAGCAGCAGCCTCTGGCAGCCTCACCACCGCAGGCCTGGGCGCTGCCTGTCAGCCTCGCCCTTTCACAGGCCGGGAGAACACTTTCCCAACAGCTAGCTGCGTGGCTCTCCACTGCCACCCCTGCTCAGGTCAAAGCTCCCCAGGTACTCCTGGGGCCTCCAGCTGGCTCTTCCCAAGGCCCTGGCTAAGGACGGCAGTCTGTACAGGAGACCTCCTGCACCACATGGACTTCCTGTGGTTTCCTTTAGGTCCCATGCGTGGCCGTGGGCAGGGTAGCACCGAGGCCGGCTGGCAGGGGGTGTGAGTGGAGCTGGGCGTCTAGGGCAGGGCACAGACACTGAGGCGGAGGTCAGGGCCCCCGGTGGGGGGGGCAGGGCGGTGGCTTGAGTGCAGTCTCCTCCCCAGACATTGCAGCCCTGCGCTGCACCGCATGGCATGACCGTGGCATGGAGAGGCCAATCCAGTCAGTTTCTGATTGAAGGTTCACCAAGGACAGGGAGTTCTATTCTGCTCACTGTGGGCCGTGCCCCAGGATGGCGTGGAGGCCTCTGTGAGCTGGTGTGGCTCTGCAGCTCTGAGTGTGGCAGCTGGTGGCTGAAGGACCCGGCCCTGTGTCCCCTGCGAGTCTGGGGCCCTGAGCACAGGCCTGGGCTCCCAGCAGGCAGCTCCTTGGCTGAGCGTTATTGTCAAGGAGATGGTGGGAATCAGCCCTGGAAAGTCCCACTGCTGTGGGGCTGTGGGGATCTGACTGGCCGGTTGGTCCCTCATCCTTGGACCATCTGTATGGGGCTGCTGAGACCCAGAGGATGGTAGAGCCCCAGGATCTGGATGGGGAAGGCTGCGCCCGCACACTCAGAACCAGAACCCCATTCCCCCATGCTGTGGAGCCTCCAGAGGGCCCGGTGCTCCCAGTGGGATTCCAAGTCAGGAAATGGACCAGCAAAAGCTGTCGCAGCTCCCCTGGGGAACTGCTGGCCTGGACCACTCCTGCTCGGCGCTCTCATTTTTATTTGCACATTAGAGACCCCCGCAGAGCATTGCCCCCTTTTCCCACATCAGCCTCTGAGCTAACATAGCAGCAGCTCACTTGGAGCCTGGGCCTGCTGACCTTTGTGCTCTCTCTCCAAATATGGGGTGGCAGGCTGCCTTCCTGGGCGCGGGCGTGGGGCACCCTCTGGGTGCGGGGCCAGGGAGGGAGCACAGACCTTTTTGGACAGCGCAGCCTTGCTGAGTGACCTTGGGGATGCCCGATTCGTCCTTGCCCATCCCCCTCTACCCGCCCTGCTCCCCAGAGGGCCAGCTCATCTGCCCTCCAGCCTGTCAATATGGACGCAGGGCACCAGATGAGGCAGCAGCAGTTCAGGACCCTGGGGCCAGCCCCACCCCTCCTCCCTAGATAGGACCCCTCATGCTTTCCCCTCCATGGGCACCTATTGGCCTCAAACCTGCAAAACAATGTATCTTTTTGCACTTGGAAAACACACCCCCAGGGACGGGGTTGGGGGGGGTGCGGCTGGGAGGAACCTGTGGCTCTCAGAGCTCTCCTGGTGGACTTCTATGGGGTTTTCTGCCTCAGTCCCTGGGGCTCCTGAAGCCTCTTGTTTGAAAACCGAGTGGTCTGCTGCTTTTTTCTTTTTGTTTTTTTTCCTTTTTTCTTCTTTCTTTTCTTTTTCTTTTTTTTTTTTTTTTGAATACGCTTTTAGAGACACACTCACTTCCACCCGAAGCTTGGGGCCCAGCCCTGCACCTCCGCCCCTCGGCGCAGCTCACGTGAACCCGCACACTGACTTGGGGCCGCCCGGGTAGCCCAGGTGGCTGGTCCCCTCTCTGAACCGCTGGCCTTTGCTCCTCCTTGCACACTGATGACTTGTGCTTAGAGTGTGGTGGCTCGTCCCCCGTGTGTGCTGTCCTGCCTAACGCTGTGGTCTTGTGTCGTTTCTTCTTCCCTTGCAGGGTCTGCCCTGAAGCGTCTCTGTCTAGGCAAAGAGCACAGCAGTCGTAATTATCGGGTTTTTTACCCTTTGTCCGCTCTCCATTGCATGGGCTTTCATGTGGCTAGTGTGCGTCAGGGTCTCTGTGGCCACGGGGGGGTGGGGGGGCTGTGTCTGCCCTGCGCCCACCCTCCAGGGCCCCCGCGGCTGCACCTTGCATCTCCGTGGCTCCTAGAGTCTGTGTGTCCTGGCCGGTGGACATGCTGACGCCCCCCTTCCCTGGAACTTGTACACGTGACCCATCGTTAATTGGCTCCTTTTCCAAAACCGTAGGAATGAGTATGTCCTTGAAGTGCTAAAGATGAGTGCCCCCGAGGAGAGATGCCGGGAAGAAATGGGTATCTGTCCACCCGGGCCACCCACCGCCCTCACCTCCCACCTTTTTTTTTTTTCCCCTGTCCTTTTTTTTTTTCTGGCTGAAACATCCCAGTAGAAGTAGCTCCGTGTGTGTGATGTTCCATCACTAATGTTGAACTGTTTGTGTCCATGCTTTTCCATCGCTAGCCATCGCACACTACATTTTGCAACGGCTTGTTTGAAGAGATGGTCGTTATGCCATTTTAATACAGAGAATTTTCAAATTGGCTTATTCTAAATTGCCAAACCAGAAATTAGATGTTGGGGATGAGGACACAAAAGTCCCCTGTTGGACATTGAAACATAATCTTCCAGTGAAGTAGGCAAGCGTGCCTTCTCTGGCCAGCTCCCCTGACCCATGGCCCGGACCTCCCCGTGGCCTCCCTGTTCTGCCAGTGGAGGCCTCACCCCGCGGATGGCTCCCGGCCTGGGGCCCGCAGTGGAAGGCTTTGGGTGCTTGTACCCCCACCAGCACTTCCCTGCCCGCTCTGCTGAGGAGAGGCAGTGTGTCCTCAATTCCAAACCACAGAGCCCTTTGACCTGTCCCACGGTTGCCCTACGCTGGGTGGACAGCAGCGTCCTGTTCCCCAGAGCTTCACGTTCCACTCCAGAGCGCAGAGGCCTTGGGACTCTCTTCCCGCATTTTCTGAGCTCCCTCCTGTGTGGGAGTCTGGGGCCCTGGGCCGCGTGGGCACACAGTGGATGCCGAGCACGGGTGATGGCTGCATGGCACAGCTTGGCCCTCGTGGCCTGGGGAGCGTTCCAGAGCGCCTGGCGCTGGTGCGTGGGCCCCCGAGCACAGACCATCTCCTGAAGCAAGGCGTTGCCTGGCCTGAGCAAGACACTGAGAGTGAGTGCGGCTGGCCGGCAAGCGCAGCGTCCCCGACGTGGCCTGTGTGTGCTTCCCCAGGGTCCTCCACCAGCAGCCTGGTCCCGGGCCCCGAGCCAGGCGCCCAGCCCGCCCTGCACATCCAGGCACAGGCCAACAACAGCAACAACAAGAGGGGCACCTTCACGGATGACCTGCATAAGCTGGTGGACGAGTGGACAAGCAAGACGACGGGGGCTGCCCAGCTGAAGCCGTCGCTCAATCAGCTGAAGCAAACCCAGAGGCTGCATGGCATGGAGGCCACGGCGGGCTGGGCCCTGGCCCCTGGGGAGGCGCGGGCTGTAAGTGGGGCGCAGTGGGTGTGGTCGGAAGGCTGGGCGGGAGCGGGCACGGGGAGTCGTGGCCTGGGGGGGGGGCGGCAGCCGTGGGATGCGTCTTGGGGATGGGGACGGGGCTGTGCCCGCCTGGCAACCCCTCTGGCAGAGGTGCCCTGCTCCGCGTGGAGGAGCCTGTGCAGGCCATGTTACTTCTTCCTGAAATGTTGAGCAGGCGTCACGGCTAAGCCTAACTGGCCTGGGAGTTGTTCTGGGTGGGTTTTTTTTTTTTTTTTTTTTTTTTTTGAGTGTGGGAAGGGTCCCCTGTGACCTTTCATTTCGAAAAATTTCAAATATACCGAAGCATTGGAAATTGCGCAGTGAAATTTCGTGTGCCCTGCCTGCCTGTGGTGGCTGACATTTTGCCGTGTTTTTCACACATCCCTCCACCCCCTGGAGGGTAAGGTTTTTGTCACCGATCCAGTTTCCTCGTTTATACTTTTTGTGCCATTTGGATTTTCTATTTTTTCTGTTAAGCTCTGCTTTTTTAACATGTTGGTAGATACCTAAATTTATCCAAGTTTTCAGATTAGCTGACAGAAGCTGCTGATCACATCCTATCTTGGCAGCTTGTCAGGTGTTTTGGGCCTGACATTGGTGACGTGTGCATGGCCCCCTCCCCGTCCCGTGCAGTGCCCCACGGCCCGCCTGGGAGAACTCGGAGAACTTGTGGTGGCTCAGACGACCCTTGTTATGCGTCGTTAGTTTCTCCTTCTGTGCTCTCCTTCTGTGTCTGGGCTGCTTTTTGTTGCAGTTGTTCGAGAAAGTTCCTTGATGTGTGCTGGTCATCGATTTAGCGCCTTTCCGGTTTTATATGACAGGCGTTCAACCGCTACAAAACCCTCGTCCTGGTTTCCTTCTGGATCCTGGAGGGTTTGACATGTAGCATTTCCTTTGAGCTTCAGTTCAAAATAGTTTGTCATTTCCACTGTGGTTTGAAGCGAGATAGGCATGTGTTCCCTCAGAATCTCTTTGGGACTGCTTTTTGGCCTGAGTTTGTGAGAGGACGAACTCTGGGTGTTTTCAGTTCTTTGACATGTGCTGGGACTGGCTTTTCGGCCCAGTCGTTGATCCGCCCTGCTGGCTGCTGCCGCCACAATGCTACACATGCACCTGCCACACTGGCGGCGCCCAGGCCTCGCTGTCCCCTCCACGTGACGAGTGAAGAGTGTCCCTCCCAGAGCTGCAGCCCTAAGGCCTCAAACCCCCCAGTGTTAGAAACAGCAGCCACCTGACCCCACGGGGTCACCGTCTGCACATGCCCTGACCGCCAGCTCCCTAATCCCCTTGTTTGAATGGCAGTGAGTCTTACAGAGGTTTTTTTAAAAATATATTTTTGCTGTGGTAAATCTGTATAATGTAATATTCACCATTTCAATCATTTTTAAGTGTGTAATTCATTAGTATTCTCATTCACGAGGCTTTGCTGCCATCACACCATCTGTTTCTGCAACCTTCTTCATCCCAGGTCGAAAGTTCTCACTGAGAAATACTCCCTAGTCCCCACCCCCACCCCCCCCTGCTGATCCAGGCCCCATTACCATTTTTTCTCCTTTCTATGGAGTGTTGTCAAATCTCCAGGTCCCTCACGTAAGTGGGATCGGGTACTGGTGGCCATTTCCTGGCTGGCGTGTTTCATTCAGCATAATGCTGCCAAGGTGTAGCTGTGTGGCCTCAGGGCATTACTCCTTTGGGGGCTGAGAAGTACATAGGGGGTACAGTCAGTAGTGTCGTCAGTCGTTTATCAGGGTCAGCATTTCGTGATGTACGTGTATCTTGAATCACTGTGTCGCACACCTTAAACTAATTTAGTATTTTATGTCAACCATGCTTCAATTAAAATTTTTTAAAGTCGGGGGATCCCTGGGTGGCTCAGCCGTTTAGCGCCGCCTGCATCCCAGGGTGTGATCCTGGAGTCCCAGGATCGAGTCCCATGTCAGGCTCCCTGCATGGAATCTGCTTCTCCCTCTGCCTGTGTCTCTGCCTCCCCCCGCCTCTCTCTCTCTCTGTTTCTCATGAATAAATAAATAAAATCTTTAAAAAAAATTTTTTTAAGTCACTTCATTTTTTTTCTCCAATTTTTTTTTATTGTGAAATGCATGGCATCAAATCTGCCATCTTAACCATTTTCAAGTGCTAGCTTTAGGTGCACTAAGCATTCATAATTGTTCAACCATCACCATGCATCTCCAGAATTTTTTCATCTTGCAAAACAGAGACTCTGTCCTCATTGGAAAGGAAGTAAAGGAACTGCCCATGCCTGCACCCCTTCCGCAGCCCCTGGAAACCACAGTTCTCCATGTGGATCTGACTGCTGTCGGTTCCTATGTAAGTGGGATCCTACAGTATTCGTCCGCTTTGTGACTGGCTTGTGTCACTCATTGTGTCCTCGAGGTTCATCCATGTTATACCATGTGTCCAAATGTCCTTACTTTCTAAGGCTGAATAATACCCCAGTGTAGGTACACATCACATTTCATCCTTTTATCTCCTGATTCATACTTGGGTTGCTTCTCCCCATTAGCTGTTGTGAGCAGTGCTGCCATCAATAGGTGTGCAGGTACTACATTGAGTCCCTGCTGAATTTCATTTCTTTTGAAGGAATACCCAGAAATGGAATCACTGCATCTTGTAGTAATTCCATTTTTAACTTTTTGAGGAACCGCAAACTGTTTTGCACAGCAGCGGCAGCAGTTTGCATTCCGGGCAGCAGTGGGTGAGGGCTCGTGTCTCCTCATCCTCACCAACATGTTTTATTTTCTGATTTTTTTTTTAATAGTAGCCATCCTGATACCACTGTGGTATCTCACTGTGGCTTTACTATTTCCAAGATGATCAGGGATGTTGAGCCTCTTTTCATGTGCCTATTGGCCATTTGTAGACCATTAGGAAAATAGTAGTTCAGGTCCTTTGCCTGTCGGTTATTTGTTTTTGTTACTGAGTTTTAAGAGTTCTCTGTATTTTCTGGATTTTAATCTCTTATCAGATACGTAATCTGCAAATATTTCTTCCCATTCTGTGGATTGCTTTCTTACTGTGTATTTTTTTTTTTAGACTTATTTATTTATTTATTTGAGAGAGAGAAACAGGAGTGGAGGGGAGGGCCAGAGGGCGAGGGAGAAGCAGAATCTCACTGATCAGGGCACCTGACATGGGGCTTGATCTCAGGACCCCAGGATCATGACCTAAGGGGAAGGCAGATGCTAAACTGACTGAGCCACCCAGGTGCCCTTGGACAATGTCTTTTCATGCACAAAAGTTTTTTAATTTTCGTGAAGGCCAATTTATCTATTTTTACTTTTGTGGACAGTGTCTTTGATGTCATTGCCAAGAAATTATTGCCAACTCCAGTGTTGTGAAACTTTCTCCCTGTTTCTTTCTAAGATTTAATAATTTTAGCTTTTATGTTTAGGCCTTTTATCCAGTTTAATTTCTGTATATGGTGTGAAGTAAAGGTACAGTTTCATGCTTTTGCATGTGGATAATGAGCTTTCCCAGCACCATTTGTTGAAAAGACTCCCCTTTCCCCATGGATTGGGCTTGGTGCTCTTGGTGACTATGAATTGACCATATTTGCAAAGGTCTATTGCAACCTTTGGTTGGTTCTCTGTTCTGTTTCTTGGTATATATGTTTGTCCTTTTTCCAGTATCACATCATTTTGATTTTCATATCTTTGTAGTAAGTTTTGAAATCAGGAAGTATGAGTCCTCCAACTTTGTTTTAATTTTTCAAGATTGTTTTGGTTATTGGGGGGGGGGTCCCTTGAGAATCCATATTAATTTTAGGATGGGTTTTTCTACTTCTTGAAAAAAATGCCATTGGGAATTTAAGAGTGATTGCAATGAATCTGTAGATCACTTTGGGAAGTTTTGACAGTTACAATGTAAGTCTTTCAGTCCATGAGCATGGGGTGTTGTTCCATTTATTTACGTCTTCTTTCATTTCCTTTGGTGGTGGTGTGTGGCTTTCAGTGTGTAAGTCATTCAATTCCTTGAAGTTATTCCTAAATATTTTATGATTTTTCTGCTATTGTAAATATAACTGCTCTAATTTCCTTTCAGATTGTTCATTGTAAGCGTATGGAAATGTAGCTGATTTTGTATCCTGCAACTCGCTGAATTCATGGATGAGTTGTGTGTGTTTTCTTTAGGGTCATCTACATGTAAGATTTTGTTGTCTCTGACCAGGAACCATTTTACTCCTTCCTTTCCAATATGGATACCTTTTTTCCATTGCCTCATTTCTCTGGCTAGAACTTCTAATATTATATTGAACAGAAGTGGCAGCAACAAGTATGCTTTTCTTGTTCCTGACCTTGGAGGAAAAGCTTTCAGACTTTCACTGTTGAGTATATAATGCTAGCTGTGGGTTTTCACATATGGTCTTTATAATATTGAGGGAATTCCGTTTGTAGTTTGTTGAGTGCTTTTGTTATGAAAGAGAGTTGGATTTTGTTAAATACTTATTTCTGCATTAAATGAGATGATTGTAGGTTTCTTTATCCTTTATCTTGCTAATGGTGTATTATGTTGATTGGTTTTCATCTTAAACCACCCTTGCATTAATTCCTGGGAGAAATCCCACCTGGTTATGGTGTACATACTCTTACGAATTCAGTTTGCTAATGTTTTATTGAGGATTTTTGCATAAATATTCATTGGGGTATCAGTCTGCAATTTCCTTGTGATGTATTTATCTGGCCTTGGTAGCAGGTTAATGCTGGCCACAAAGAATGAGCTAGGAATTATTCCTGTCTTCAACTCCTGGCAGGGTTTGAGAAAGATTGGTGTTAATTCTTCTTTAAAAGTCTGGCTTCTCTTTGTTGAGAGGTTTTTGATTACTGATTCAATCTCACTACTTGTTATAGGTCTGTTCTGATTCTCTATTTCCTCTTGAGTCAGCCTTGGTAGTTTTTCTGTTTCTAGGGATTTTTCTATTTCATATAAATTATCCAGTTTGGTAACTA